ATTGCTTTGGCTATTCAGTCTTTTGTTGTTCCATATAAATTTTAGGATTCTTTGTTCTATTTCCGTGAAGAATGTCATTGGGATTCTGATTGGGATTGCACTGAATCTGTAGATTGCTTTAAATAATATGGACATTTTAACTATGTTTATTCTTCCAAACCATGAGTGTGGAATATCTTTCCATTTCTTTATGTCTTCTTCAATTTCTTTCAATAATGTCTTATGGTGTTCAGTATATAGGTCTTTCACCTCCTTGGTTAAATTTATTCCTAGATATTTTATTCTTTTTGTTGTGATTATAAATAGGATTGTATTCTTGACTTCTCTTTCTGCTAGTTCATTATTAGTATATAGAAATGCAGTTGATTTTTGTATGTTGATTTTGTACCCTGCAACTTTGCTGTAGTTGTTGATTATTTCTAATAGCTTTCTGGTGGATTCTTTAGGGTTTTCTGTATATAGAATCATGTAATCTGCAAACAGCGCGAGTTGCACTTCTTCCTTTCCAATTTGAATCCCTTTTATTTCTTTTTCTTGCCTAATTGCTCTGGCCAAAACCTACAGTACTATGTTGAATAGGAGTGGTGAGAATGGGCACCCTTGTCTTGTTCCTGTTCTCAGAGGGATGGCTTCCAGTTTTTCCCCATTAAGTATGATGTTGGCGGCGGATTTGTCATATATGGCTTTTATTATGTTAAAGTACTTTCCTTCTATACCCATTTCATTGAGAGTTTTTATAAATGGATGTTGTATCTTGTCAGATGCTTTCTCTACATCTATTGAGATGATCATGTGATTTTTATTCCAAGTTTTGTTAATGGGGTGTATCACATTGATTGATTTGCGGATGTTGAACCATCCCTGCGCCCCTGGAATGAATCTCCCTGGATTGTGGTGTATGATCCTTTTAATGTATTGCTGCATTCAATTCACCAGTATGTTGTTGAGGATTTTTGCATCTATGCTCATCAGTGATATTGGCGTGTAATTTTCCTTCTTTGTGTTGTCCTTGTCTGGTTTTGGTATCAGGGTAGTGTTGGCCTCATAGAATGAGTTGGAAAGCGTTCCATCTTCTTTAATTTTTTGGAATAGTTTGAGAAGGATATGTATTAAATCTTCAAATGTTTGGTAGAATTCTCCAGAGAAGCCATCTGGTCCTGGACTTTTGTTTTTTGGGAGGTTTTTGATTACTGTTTCAATCTCTTTATTTGTGATTGATCTATTCAGATTCTCTATTTCTTCTTCTTCTTTTTTTTTT